AGGTGTTCACATTGTCCAGATGATGGTAGGCTGTGAGTGGGATGATGAGACTGGTGAGGTTAATGGTTATGATCAGTATGGTTATGATGGAGAAGACTTCATAGCTCTGGACATGAAGACATGGACGTGGGTCGCTCCACAACAACAGGCTGTCTTCATCAAACAGGAGTGGGATAAAGACAAAGCTCGAATAGAGTATCATAAGAACTACCTCACCAAGGATTGCGTTGACTGGCTGAAGAAGTTTGTGAACTATGGGAGGAGCTCTCTGATGAGAACAGGTAGGATCAAATGACCTGATGGAGTTGAATTCTGACAATGTTCATCTTCTTCTTTTCTTGTTTATCTTGTAATTGAACAATAAATATTTCACACATGTTTCTATCACACATGCTCTGTCTTCATCTTTAAGCTTCCCTTACCTTTCCCTTCATGTTAGATCTCTTTCTCTCTGCTGCTCATCGCTCTCTCTCAAAGTTTCTCTGTGTTTTTATTGTACTTTCTCTCTCTCTCTTCTTCTTCATCAATCCATCTGAACCCCCCTCACCTCTCTTCTTCTGTTTCTTCCCTCTGACCCTCTCTTCTTTGAATTATACTTTAATAAGGTTGATTTTCATTGTTGACTCACTGGATTTTAAAGTCCCTTTTTTTCCCAGTACATTTAAAAAGTGTCATCAAACATGAGTTGTAACAGTATTTAAGAGTAAATCCTGATAAAGAAACTCTAATCTGTCTTCCTGTTTGTCCTCCAGACCTCCCCACAGTGTCTCTCCTCCAGAAGACTCCCTCTTCTCGGGTCACCTGCCACGCTACAGGTTTCTACCCCAACAGAGCCATGATGTTCTGGAGGAAAGATGGAGAGGAGCTTCACGAGGACGTGGACAAGGGAGAGATCCTCCCCAACCACGACGGCTCCTTCCAGATCAGCGCTGACCTTCAACTGCCCTCTGATGACTGGGGGAAGTACGACTGTGTGTTTCATCTCTCTGGTGTGAAGGAGGACATCGTCACCAAACTGGACAAACGAGAGATCAAGACCAACTACGGTAAGACCTCGATGAGAAGTGATGAAAGAGAGGATTTGACTGTAACAGTCGTGTGATGGAGGGAAAGTTTAGTTGTGACTTTTTCTTTCTTTCAAACTCAAATTGTAAAAGTATTCAGAAAAAGAGTTTAGAGGTTCAGCATTAAAGCGAACCTTTAAAGTTTAAACCTCTTACAAGAAAGATACTATTCCAGAGTTTTAAATGGATTAATAACGCAAAGTGAGAGAGAGAGAGAGAGAGAGAGAGAGAGAGAGAGAGATGAATAAAGCTGCAGGGCTGGAATAGTGCAGATTTACTTCAACTCTCCAGTCCACATGTTTATTAAAGTATTCAAATGAAAGCACTCATCATTGTGTCAAAGTGTCTGATGAACACTGAAAGAGATTTGAAAAAAGACACAAAAAAGGACCAAAGATTAAACATAATAAAGCTGTGCAGAAAAGGTCAAAGTGGAGCATAAATAATGATCAGAATGCAGGAAAAGAAATGTCTGATGCTAACATTTTTCTGAGGGAGACCCAAGATGCAGTTTTCACTTAAAGTTGAAAAAAAAAAAAAAAAAGAATCATGTGAGAGAATCGTGATCTCAGATCTCAGGGAGAAAAATCATGATTCACATGTTAGCATCTCTTTTTCATTTACAGCCACATCATTTCATTTCAGTTTCTCTTTAGATTTTATTTTTTAGTGTTTTCAGTTTTTAAATCCATCAAGAAAAGATTGAATCAACACAGTTAGAGTGCTGTTGTTGAAGAAAAGTCAAACATGTTTATTTTGAGAGATTAAAGGCACTGTGTTGACTTCTCAAAGTTAAAGTTTTAAAGGATGAATGTGTGACATGTTACACATAAATATATCAGAAATCCAGTCTATCTGTGTGAATGTCTCTGAGTGTGGAGGAGGCGTGGCAAAACAGCAGTTTGTTTTGGTTTGCTCAAGGGCGACATCTACTGGATCAAAAAGTCACTCATTCTTCCTTTAGTTGAAGAGAAGATCAAGTTGATGAATTACTGGATGTATATATATCTGTCAGTAAATCATTCACGGTGAGTTTTCTTTTCCTCGTTCAGTCAAAATGAGTTTGAATCCGTTTGTCAAATCTCTCAGAGCGAAACATCAACATATAAAGAAATCAGCATTCAGATAAAGGACGACAACACGACTGGAAGATGAATCAAACATAGATACAGGATTTATTTACAGACAAGTGGAGATTCAAATGAAGAGCAGCAGGACAAACAGTGTTTATTTACAGGATGATGATTGTCTGCTTGGCACATGTTCTCCTCCTCTAACCTGCTTCATCTGCACAGGTTGTAACTGTGGTTTGTTGATTTGTGCTCAACAGTGAATCCCATGAACACCGTCATCCCCATCATCGCCATCATCGCTGCACTCGTTCTTCTCGGCCTCGCTGTCATTGGATACAAGAAATACAGAGGCAGAAGGAGGAGGCTGGTGTAGACGGAGCACTGAGGAAGGATGCTACTTTCAAAACCCTGCCTTAAAGCTGGAAAAACGTTACCTGCGTTTGACTTTTGACCATTTATAATCAGCAGGTCCTGAGGAAAGCTAGGGCCATACTTGTGATCCCAGATCACCCACTTCACAGTGAGTTTGACCTTTGACCCTCAGGTCGTCGTTTTAGAGCTCCTGTGAGGAAGACTAAAAGACTCCAGGTCTCATTTTTACCAAGTGCAATTAATCTGTTAAACAACAATTAGCTATTTGTTGCTCTTTTTGCACTTGAACTGCACATTTGCACACCTCCACTTTGCACTTTAAGAACTTGAATTTCCATTCTGGTCCGGGCTCTTGACTGATTATATTGCGCTGTTTTAATTTGGTTTTATATTTTGCTGTGTTGTCTGATTTTTTTAATTAGTTTTGGTTGATGTTTTATGGAGATGTTGTCCTTGTGTTTCTTGTCTTCTGTGTGCTCCTGTTGCAACGCAAATTTCACCTTGTGGGACAATCAAAACTCTGAATCTGAATCTGAATCTGAATCTGATAAAGTCGGAGTAGAAATGTGTCTGTTTGCGTTCGTGCAGTTTTTTAGAAGTTTTGTGAGAGAATCATTTTATGAATTCTTTTCTTCAAGTGCAACAACGAGAAACTTGAATCTTCGGTTGTTTCCTGTTGAAGACAACAGAGACTGATTTCTTTCTTTCTGATTCTTCTCACAAAGTCGACCCACGTTATGTCTCAACAGCAGTGATGGAAGAAGAGTGCTTTAAGAAGTGCTGCAATTTGAGCACAAATGAACCGGCATCGAGGGCCAACATCTAAAAATATGAATCATTTGTAACTTGTAATTCTGGTGCCGACTAGTGAGGGTGATGACTTCCAACCTTTAAGTGGACTAACGGGCACATCCCTAGTTATTAGATTGTGATGTCATCCTCTGACGTTAACCTGATAGACTCGATTACACGCTGAACTTGCTTCATACCTTCAGGTTGACCTGGATGACTCTGTCAAAGTGATCCTCCTCCATGTTGAGCAGGAAGTGGTCCTGCGTGATGCCTGCTGCGTTCACACACACTGAGGGAGGCTGGAAGTAATGAGTGTGTAGAGGAACAGAACAATAACTTACAAGGAGAGAAAAACAACACGTGGAATAGCCCTCCAGCATGAAAACACACAGAGAGAAAAGTACCTTTTTCTACAGAAAGGTTGCTGATTATGATGGAAATGTAAACACATGTTGTGTTGGCTTGTCTTCCTGTCTGTATCACACCTGTATTCTGGTGACCAGCTTCTTCACGCTCTCTTTTGATGACACATCCACCACAGCCGCCATGTGACCCTGTCCTCTGAGGTCATTCTGCAGACCCACCATGGTCTCGTTGGCAGACTCCTCGCTGATGTCTGCCACCACCACGGAGGCGCCCTCAGAGGCCAAACGCTGACATACCGCCCGTCCGATCCCACTGCCTCCTCCTGGGAGGGAAAAGAGTAGCATGAAGTTACCAGAGTGACAGAATGTTTTAAACACAACGCTGCAGAGGAAAGACTGAGTGTGACAGAAGATCCACTCTGGAAGTATCTGAAAAAACAAATATCAATCAAGGACGACAAGAAAACACACAGGACAGGAAGCTGACTTGATGTGATTGATTTTCAGTTTGATTAGCCCAACAGTTCAGGGCTACATGACCAATTGTTATTCACAAATCATCTGCGCCCAATCACATTTCTTTCTTTCTTCTGTCTTCAAAAACCTTGAGTCCACTTTTCTATGTGAAAATGTAAGAGGACAAGTGATGCTTCATCATTCATAATACAGCTTTAATGTTTATTCCATCAGTCAAAGAAGACAATTAATAAGCCACAATTCTCATAATACATGTATCCTTTCAGTCACTCACTGTATCCACACTGTATTGCATTTTTTACAGTTTTGAACCTTAAGTCGGACAAAACCAGACATTTAAAGATTTAAACTCTGAGGCATTTAAACATGTTTCCTTTTTCAGTATTTTCACAATTCAACGGCAGATCATTTCATTCTGAAATGGTTGCAGGTCTTATTGATAGCATACACACAGCCAGAATGACAGCTACACTTTCACCTTCACTCTCATTTCAAGTCATCAAACTTAATTCAGTCCGATCTGCTCGAGGTACTGATTTAGAAATCACTGATAGAATCACGGTTACACTAAAATAATGAATTCATTGTCAGCTTACTTTGGAGATCAAACTTTTTGATATCAGAAGCTACTTGCAGTAGGTAGCTGCTTTGATTTGGTGAATTGAAGAAGATTGCAGAAAAACACACGGCTTTGAACGCAACATCTTGAAAAGGGAAAAGGGCATGTCCTTAAACGTCTCACTTCACACAACACCATGTATCTTACAACATATATTTACCAGTGACCAGCGTCAACCTTGATATCAGCCGTGTGGCAGCCGTCATACTCCCATCATGTTTCCCCCCTTATGTTGTTGTAGCTTTCGGGTTGTCCACTAGATGGCGCCCAGTGATGAAAAATGTTACGTGTTCCGGTTCCGGTTGATGACGAGCCCAGCAGAGTTTAACTAAAAGCTAAGGAGGCGAGGAGGGAATCATCTATTACAATGCTTTGTCATTTTATTCATCAAACTGACCATAGATTACAGTCACAGTATGAACAGGATGGAATATCCCTCCGTTTTAATACAAGGTTTATTTTGAAAGGGTTTAACGGAAGTATCTCTTCGCTACGTGTATCTAACTTGACTCTGCGGGTGTAGTTCTTCATTGAGGCCACTAGATGGCGCACGATACTGAATACGCCAATGTAGAACAAGAAACACATTTAAAACAGCTACACGGACAGAATACATGATGTTGATTCAAATGAACATTAAATACATTTTTATCTTGGACAACAGATATTTTATAACTTAATTGGCCATAGATTAAAGCGTTGTGTTGTTCACTCCGTCAAACATTACCTTCATAAAGTGCAGCTAGCGTTAACAAGAGGGAGCTGTAAGGCGATGTGATAATGTTCCTTTACAAACTTTCACTGTTTGATAGAAGAAAAAGATTAAAGTCTTTTGTTATAATTCGGTAAAGTTAATTAATCAGCATGAACAACGGCTTCCTAGTTTTGGTGAATTGTTCAGGAGGACACAAACTTTCCTGTGAGCTTTGCATAGATGTTTAGAATTAGCGGCAGAAACTTTGTTGATCAAGAGGGAGATAAAATGCCTCAACCTCCATTAATTTGAGGTAAAAGTATGAAATGATGTATTCCTCTTCCTCGATAGTCTTGTTCTTGTTTCTAGCTTGAGGAGGTTATTCTTAACAGAGTTGATAAAAGTATAACCGTGAGTACACACTGCCCCCCTGTGGTCAAAGTGCAAAACTTTTATTTTGATAGTGATAGTCGGAAGTTGTTCTTTGTATAAACATCTACCTTGACAGATTGATGACGCAGTAAATCATTGTGTCATACATAGCGTAATTATAATATAAATAAAGCACATATGGCATTATCATTAACAAGCAAACAGTGTTTGTACTTAAGCTGTGAGTATTTGGATTTATTTAACTATTGAGGACAATTATCCTTAAACAATCTTTAACAAGAGCTTTGAATTAACTGTAAAAGTTCTCTGTTTTTACTGTCTGTGATCATCAACACGTCATGTATGAAAGAATTGAGTTGACTGAGAGAGGGTCAAATATTTAATAATAATAATTTGGGGAAAGTATACATTGTATTTCTGGATCAGGGATAGTATAAGCTCATTTATTTATTACAATAAAAAATGTATCAGATAATCAGGCCTCTGTGAACATACGATCACACACTAAAAATATATGTATTTATTTTACATGTGATCACACAAGATTCAAAAATAATAATAATAATGTTATAATAATAATAATAACATCTATATATAGGACAATTTAAAATCAAGCTACAAAGTGTTTTACAAGGACAGCAATAATAAAACAAACGGAAAACAGTCTAGACATAAAATCATAAGTAAAGGCAAACAATTATAAATAACAAACATTTTACATAACATTCATTTAAAAGATCTTTAAAAGAAGCAAAAAAATACATTTTGAAGGAATTTTTAATGTAAACTAAAATGACGTGAGGAAGGGCTCGCTGTTTAAAATATGTCTTAGGAGGGGGTTATAATGAAAAAGAGATTAACTGACTGATTATCTCACATGATCTCCTTCTCTCTACTTTCCCTATGATTTTATTTTAACAGCGATGACCGGAAGTAGTACAATGTAATTTATTTTGACTTGACAGTATTGATGCTGTAGTTACTCACTGTGACCACTAGAGGTCATAAATAATGTGCTTCTCATTTATTTACCGTTCAATCGTCGGCTACCCATGTTAGTGACTTCTCAAGTTAACTAAGGAAGCTTTGATGATTTCACATTAATTATGGGATACCTTCAGTTGTTTCTAAAGTCCTACGACATCCTTGTGTTTACATCGAATCACAATTTATCTACAAAGTTCCAGTAGGCCTACTTGTAGTTTTGCTAGCTAGAGAGCTAATTGTTGATGACATCTTGTCCGACACAGATTTGATTTGTTTGGATAAAAAAATACAATCAATGTTTTTAGTACGAGCAGAAAAGTGAAGATTGACTGGTTATGTTCCAACGAATGTGAACTTAAATAACTCGGATTGTTTTTTTGTTAACATAACGATCATAAGCGCATCTTAAAAATGTTTTTTTTGACGACAGGGACCGGAAGTAACACACTGTGATTTCATCTGACTTGATAGTAGTAATGTTGTAGTTACTTACTGTGACCACTAGAGGGCATAAACAACATGATTCTAATAGAAATACTGTACAACAAAGATGAATAAGGTGGATTGAAGTAACAAAGCTGTGGCATTGCTACATTAATATTTGATATCTTTAGTAGTTTAAAATTCAAAGGATATCTGTGGTTTACAAACAATGATGGATATAAATTATAGAAGCTTAGTCCAATACATCAGCAGGAGTAACTTGGGGTTAAGTGTCTTACCCAAGGACACATTGCACATGTGGCTGCAGGAGCTGGGATTGAACCCCGACCTTCCTGTTGGGAGACAACCGACTCTACCACTGAGCCACAGCCGCCCAAATAAAACAAAGTGCAGAAACTAACTTACATTACTGACGTCATCAAAGGATCAACGTCAGAGTCAGAAACAAGTCTGTATAAATCTAGAGATATACTACGTTTTATTTTGTGTTTATACGTTTATTTAATTAATCGACCAAACAACACAATTAAATACCCCCCCCCCCCCCCCTATTAAATCTGTGTTTGTTAACTTCTTCCATCGTGACTCAAAGACGTTTCCTAAATTCCTTCTCCTAAGAGTTATTCTCTCCATATTATAATCGTCATTAATTGTTTCTTTCCATTTCATTATTTGTGGTGGACTTTTCAGACAGTTTTTAGTGTTCTGTTTAATTTCTGTTATTCTTACAGTCCTATACAGGTATTTATCTGAAGTGAGGGACAGTGCATGGGGGGGGGAGACTTCCCATAAGTAGGTGTTGTGGACTAAAGGAAAGATTACATTTAAAGATCTGATTTATTTCCTGTTTTACTGAGCAGTATTGAAATCTAGAGATATGTTAAGTTTCAAGGCCTCACATATCATCTATTGCTCACTTATTTTTCCTCACATTAGTTTGTAAGATACATCTCTAGGATGAGCTGGGATGCATCATTAGTGACGTTCCTGAGGTCATTTGTGGGTTTCAGGTCTTTCAACATCAGACCCCCTCCCCCCAGGTGACCCATCCAGGGTTGATCAAGTCCAGCATTGCATCCCAGCAGCAGCAATCGACGGGCTCGCCCTCTTTATCCAAAGCCACCGAGTGGCCCTACTCTTCACAGTTCCTGTTACACCAAGACCTGCCAGAGCTTTGCAGATAGAGCGCCCAGCAAACCCCCGACAGCCCACTTCAATCGGCTCACAAAGAGCCCGCCAGCCTCGCCCTCTCTACACTGCTCCACCAGCTCCCGGTATTTGGCCAGCTTCCTCTCGTAAGCCTCCTCCATGTGATCTTCCCAGGGCACAGTCAGCTCCCAAATCATCTGATGGTGGAATCTGAGAAGATGGTCGAGTCTGTACGGAGTCATATCTTATTCTTACACTTAATTCCTCCTTGGTTTTATTTTATTGTTTCTCCCCTCATCCCGTTGAACGTAACAATAAAACACAAATCATCTGAATGAAAAACCCAAACTACCTCACCTCAGATGAAATGAAGAAAAGACAATCAGTCAGTCATGGGTCCTTAGTCATCTTAACTTTTCTCTGTCTCAGAGCTCGTTCATTATTAACTGCTTCCATACAGTCCAGTTCTCTGTTTGCCACCAGTGGAGTTGCCCCCTGCTGGTCATTAGAAAGAATGCAGGTTCAAGTTATTTAGATAAAAGAACTCTTATAAAGCTTTGTTTGTGTGATATAGTGATATCTTTTAAAACCTTACGATCTTCTCAAACCATGAGTGAGGATTGGCAGAGTTTACTCAGCACTAAAAGCAGAGCAAAATGAAACACAGCATCAGGTGTTCAAACATCAACAAAGGTGTCACATTTCTCTTGTTCCAGCAGTTTTCAGCGTCCAAAGCTCCAAACTAGTTCAGGATCATTGAACCTGTCAGATAAAGCTGGATCTGTAAAGTGTGATCTGATGTTATTTCATTCAAACCATCTTTTGTGTGTCAGTGATTGTCCTGACAGTCGGCCTAATCTGTGCTAAGACCTGTGTGTAGACCTCTACTGAAGAGTTATACACAACACATGCAGAAAGTGATAAAAGAAGAAAATGATAAGTACTTCAAAAAGGTATAAGACGTCCTCCTTCATCTGATTTAATAACATTATTCAATGTTATGATTGTGCACACGTGTATTTAAATATCTGATAATCACAGAGCACATTGAGTTACTGCAGGACAGGAGAGCACCTCACCACATTTACTCACTATAACTTATATTAAACTATATTTATATCTGGATTAGGACTTTTTATTAAATCCCAGAGCAGCCATACAGAACAAAAGCACAACAAGACTCAACTACATCCCTACAAACTCCAGATTATCCCTGTATCTGACCTTTAAACTCTCACAAATGTATAGAATAGAATAGAATAGAATGACTTTATTGATCCCAAACTGGGAAATTGTGGCGTTACAGCAGCAGGTTGTCCAAACTCACAATATGAGCAAAAAACACAATATTAGCAAATTTAAACACAATATAATATTAAATACAAAGTAAATAAGCACTAAAAATATCAGAACTAAGAATGAGAATATATACCACCAGGATTTAACTAAGCATTACTAGTCTTAAATATAAAAGATTAAATGTAAATGTGCAAAAACAGAGTAGTAAATGGACAGTATTGACATAAGTTAAAGTGCATGAGTGTAGACATATTATCAGCAGAAACTATACA